ACCCAAAGTTTTGTTATCTGCCTCCCGGACTTAAATTCCTGCTCCACTTGTACTTTTCACAAAGCAGATTTCCTCTTGCCATCAGATAAGGTATTTGCACGTGGCCTGAGGTGACGTTTTAGATGGTTTGAGTTTGCCTACAAGTGGCTGCCTCCCCAGTTCACCTGTACAAAAAACGCAAACACAAAACGGTGTCCTGGCTGAAACCAATTGGCTTCTCACACTGTGTGATGAGGCTGAAAGGCGTGGAGGAGGGCTCAGACTGTGCTGTGAGGTATCGGGCTCCTGGTGCTCCAGGCAGGTTTCAACAACAAGCCCAGCCAGATGCAAGTGGCTGCGCTCAGATTTATTGAGACCTGGTGTCCCAGCGTGGCCCCTGTGCAGCAGGCAGTGCTGGCTGCCTGTGGGCAGGAGCTCACCCACACGCTCTGCCGGGGCTGAGCCTTCCTAGCACGGGGCTGTGTTGGCAGAAGTGACACTTCTGCATGGCAGGGGCCAAGCCCAGGGCCCCCAGCTGACATGCCACATGTGGAACTGTTTCCAGCACACTGGAGAATCCTGGCTCTCTGGCTCCAACACACGCTCAGCCCTGCTCTCCCAGCTTTCTCTGTGCCACCATCGTTCCCACTGCTGCTTTCTGGAACTGATGGTTTTTTCCTTTTACAAGCCTTTGTAACCCTTATTCCCAGTGATACTTTTCAGTTTCTGCTTTTACATTAGCTGAAACCAAGCACTGAGTTGTTTCAGGGCAGCATCTTTTCAGTTTAGAGATAGGACCTTATGCGTTTCCAGAGTCCCAAAGAGCACCAACACAGTTCTCCATGTGTGGTCCTGTTCCCAGTAGTGGTGTAGCCTTTCCAGCGTTCAGGTAAGCAGAGGAAGTCAAAGACTTCTTTTGAACACAGGTTGTAAGGTAATACCTGCCTGAAGTTTCTTTAGCAGCTTTAACTGTTGTCATTCCTGTGCACTGAGGGGATGGAAGTGACTGGTAAATGCACAGTAGCAGCAAGAAATATATTTCCAAAATGTGCTGGAGATCTAGAGAGGGACCTTCAGTGCCTTGAACCTCTTGTCAGCCTGCTTTGTGTGTGTCAGTGCCACACAGCAGTCATGGCTGAGAGCTGCTTGTCCCAAACAGGACAGGGCAGGACAAGCAGGAGGACAGGAGAGCTACATGCACATTGTGCATGATGTATACAACCAGTGCTTTGCAGGCAAGTATCCACAGTTTGGCAGTGGGTAAACTGGATTTCCATACCTATGACAGACTGCCCTCAATGAGCTCATGGGGCTGATGCTTTGTTGGTTTGAGGCCATTTCAGGGAGGCACCTGTAGAGTGATTTTTGTCATGGTCCAGATGGTATTTAGAGCTCAGATTACCTGCTGACCAGAGCACTGTGCCGAAATCACGTACTGTGATTCTTGTCCTGTTGGGAGATTTTGGGGAAAGCTGTTTTTCCCTGTTCTGCCTTGGGCTCCATGGTGTGACAAACCACTTCCTGCTTTCATTAAGTGCTTCAATAGTCCCAGCACAGGAGAGTGATGGCAGATGCTGTGATCCCAGCTCAAGCCTGCTGCAGGGAGCACTTCTGGGTGGGCTGACACCAGCTATAGCAATCACTGCTCTGAGGTGTCTGCTGGGAAATGTGGCTGTTGCACCCTTCACATTGTATTAGTGTAGCCTTTAGCATGTGATTTCCTCTTGATAGAGCTAGTAGAAGTAAGAGCTGGCTTCGATGGGGATGGTCTTGGGGTTTTTCAGCTGCATGCACCCCACTGCGCTGCCATGGCCTGGCAGGGAGCTGTGTGTGGTGGGTACATGTCTTGTCATTGTGTCCTCTGCCAGCTCTGCTCCCTAGTATAAACCATCACCAGTGCTGTGCTGTTGGGCTCCTGTGTGCAGTAGCTTGGGAGGGCACATCTGCCCAAGGGAGCTGGATTGCCCAGATCTCACCATGCCAAAAAACTTCCCCCAGCCCATGGGGAAACTTTCTACCTCAGGTACACAGATCTGATGGTGTCAGCTTTACATAAGAGAAGCTCCTTGGTATGCAAGGGCTCTTTTAATCTACAGCAGAATCTGTGTCCTTGACAGTCTCCCAGGCATGAGGGACAGGAGCATGCTTGGCCAGGGTAGTTGCTGACCTCCTGTCTCTCTCATTTTCTTTCAGTCCTGGACGCACAACATCCAGCGGGAGAAGGAATTTCTGAGAAAGCTGGTGAAAGCCCGAGTCATCACTGATCTAACCAGTGGGATTTGAATGGCTGCAGCCACTACATCCAAGGGAGAAGACGAAGACATGCTGCAGCTCTGGGAGCAGGCACTGGCAGCCCCCTGCAAGAATCCCACCTCACTGAAGACACACAGAAATGCCCAGCTGCTCTGGGAAGACCCTCTTGCATTGCCAGTCTGCACGAGGGTTACATCTCCCACCTCCAGGCCTAGAGCTGGCAGGAGGGGGGCAAGGGGCTGAGTGGACAGTTCTTGAACTCTGCATCGCTGACAGATCTTCTACATCCTGAATTAGACAGGAAAGACTCAGGAGAGAGAAGAAAGGTTTGTGAATAAAATGATTAGTGCCAAATGGGAGGTGATGCTGCCCCAAGGCAGCAAAGCCTGAATGTACAAAGTATTATTTTTTAAAAGACTCTGCTGGAACCATACTAGAAATACCAAGGTACAAGGCAAAGTCTGCTTGTGCACAACCCTGCGAAAAACCTGGCCTCTTCATGCTCCATCTGCACTGTCAGACCTTTCCCCAGGAAAACAAATCCATCCAAAACTTCGGTGTCATTGGTGCTGCTAGAATTCGAAGGGAGAATAACAGCTTCCTCTCATTTTCCACTTGGACTTCTGGATGGAGATGAGCATGGGTTTGTTTTTCTGCATTTTTCCTCGCTTCCTCCACAGAGGCAGCAACAGCAGCAGCCACTGACTTGGCTGTGTTTTTCATAGCCATTTGCTCTGCCTCTGCCCTGACCCCAAGGTAGAACAGGGAGCCAGTGGCTTTCTCCACCTACAGCAGACCCTCCCCACCTTCCTGCCTGTCACGGTGCAGAGGAGCCTGCCCCGCTGTGCTCAAGGCTTTCAGGCCTCTTGGTTTGTGCCTGCTGTGCAGGGCCCCCGTGGAGTCCGTGTCACTGTTTCTGGACAGCATCTCGCTTTGGTTTTGTGTGGGAGGGGAGTAATTTATTCTTTGGAAGGAGGTCAGATCTTGAGCAGAGATCTCAAGCTTTACAGTTTGAGAGCAGACTGCTGAAGATGTTTGTTTTATGTTCCAGACTCAATCATGTTCCCTATTTAAGCGACATATGACCTCAACGATGATGGAACCTGATGGGAACTCTCACCCTCTGCTCGGCCCCTGCTCACTCCATTTCCAAGCTCCTCCCATGCTGCTCTACCACTGCTGCTCCTCCTGCTCTCAGGAGCAAGTCCTTCCTTTGCCATCCCAAGATGCACTATTTGCACATTTGATTTGTATACGTATTTCAGAGGAGCTGGAATAAACTGATCAACGTGGCCAAGTGCGAGGGCAGCAGGATGGTCTCATCCACCTGAAGAGTGTGGGCAGAAGGGAGATCGCCAAGGGAATGAACAATTACATGTGGAAAGTGGTTCCTGTGCTCTCTCAGCCTGGAGCAGGCTGGAGTGCACCCACAGGCACTGTCCCAGTACCTGGGTGTCAAGGCACTGGCACACAGACAGCTGGTGCTGGGGTCAGTGGAGGGGGATCCCAGAGGGGTGTGGGTTGGGCTCATGGTCCTATGTCACTGGTCTGACATAGCCCAAGGGTTGCAGTCTGCCTTGCTTTGGACTGAAGGAAGCATGACCCTGGCATGGGCAAGGAATGGTCAGAGCAGGGCTCGTGTGGCTCCACAGACCAGCTCTGCACCCACTGACTTGCAGGGACTGTGACTTTGGACCTGAGACCCTCCAAGGGGTTTACAGGAGGGGCAAGCAGCGACCTGGGCATGGGGCAGACAAGCAAACCATTGTACAGAATGGTTTGAGACCAGGCTGCAGACAGAGGCAGCTCCCAGGACATGGCCCTGAGTGCTGCTTACAGACCGGTGTGGGACGTGTCCCTCTCCTGCCTGCTGTGCCTGTAGCCAAGGAACTTGCTATGGGGCAAGTCCTGTGAAGCATCTTGATGTGGCTGCTGTTCCCCTTGTCATCTGGGAGCAGCTCGAAGATCCTGCTTCTTCTGGGCTGTGAAAGGCATGCTGGGTGGTTCTCCTTCCCTTTATCTTTCCCATGTGCTATCCCCACTGCTCTGGCCTCCCAGCCAGGCAGTCCCTGTTCCCTGGGGACATGCCTCCTTTCAGGATGCTCTGTGAGGTTTCCAGCAGGTTTTTGAGCATATGCTGTGGCAGATACTCCTTTGAAGTATCTCACAGTTTGGTTTTCCTTCTTGAGGAGTCCATGGGACTGGATTTCCATGGCTCTCACCAGGCAACACTCCATTTGCAGTTCCTGGCTGTCGGCCTGCACTTGGGACCATCTTCTATTGAGTCCCAGCCATGCTGGCAGTGGGAATGCTTGGTCTGGATGTGGATCTGGCTGAGGTTGTGGCTGGGGAAGGATTGACATCCTCTCTCTCTCTGTCTTGGTGCTTTAACCAGCTGCCATGAGAGCCCTAGGGCTGTATCCATGGGCTGCAGTGAGCGGAGATGGCAGAGGGGGCAGCTGCATCCAGAAGGAGGAAGGATGAGCTTTTGGTGTCTGTGCTGGGCTTCTCTCCACCCACTGGGGAAGGACGCCCACAGAGGATTGTGATGGCATTAATTTGATTAGGACTGGTTTATTGAATACTACAAAGCTACAGGGCCCTTTTATCTTCCAACTCACTGGCTCTAGGTCCAAGGACACAGCATGGCCACTGCTCAGCCTTCCCTGTCATCCCAGCTCTCCACCACATCCATGAACAGGTCCTGATGGGAAGTTCACTATACAGACCAGGGAGGTGACTCCAAGCCCTTCCCTCCACCTTGACAGGGGTCTCTCAGCAGGAGTCCAAGTTGAATAGATGAGTGCATGGCCCAGAGTAACAGTGTAGGTCAGGACCACCTGCATGTAGAAGGAAAGGGTATTAAAGGACCAAGACTCTCCTCTAGCTCACTGACTCCCATGAGCAGCCCATGGCCAGGTGATGGGGCTCCAGCTCCAAGAGCAGTGCACAGCACTGGGTTTTGCTCCTGGTGCCGTTCCTTTGGCTGTCTCCCCATGTGCACCTGCAGCCACCTCCCGCCCATGAAACGCTGCAGTCCTGGCAGCTCAGAGCGGTGCACGCGGGTCAGAGCAGGGTCAGTGGGACGGATGTGAGTCTTGGCCTCTCCCTCGCAGTGACTCACCTTGTCAGATCAGAAGGGAGAGCCCAGGGGAATTCTCCACAGCCTAAATATAGAGCGGGGTTGCCTGGTGCCTCTGATGCGCTGCAGAAAGGCCACGCAGGTGGCAGGGAACCTGCCTAGAGACAGCCCAGAGAAACACAGGGAGATCAGGGGCCAGTGACCACACTGGGTTTTGCTCCAACTGGTGCAGAGAGCAGGTCTGGGGAGCTGCAGGGCAGCCTGCATGTGCTTCTCTGGAGGACAGGAGCTGCCAGAGAGCTGCTGCTGCTGTGCTGACCACACCATGAGCTGCTTGTGCATTTGTGGCAGTGCCCACCACACTGGCATTGGACTCCCACCACCAGCTCACCCTGTTAGGCCTGGCCATGCTGTGGGCTCAAGCTCACACATGCCAAAGGTAAGCACTATGGCCAGGTAGAATGAGGCAGCAGTGGGATCCAGCCCAGCATTCCTCATCCCAGAATCTCTGGGCTTCCAGTGTGTCCTTCCTTGGAAGGAGAAGTGGAGAAGCCCTGCCCAACCATGCTGTGCTACCCCTCAGTGTGAGCACTGCTGGGAGTGGGGGAAGGTGTCAGGACAGGGCCATCTGTGTCAAATGGGCACAGTTAGGTTGGGCATAGGCAGAACTGGACACGGGCAAGGGCTTCCAGAGTGTTTGGCAGGAAGCAGCCACCACGCCGAGCTCCATGGGCACCAGCACAGCATGTGCTCTGGGTCTGAGCGTGCATCACTCGCAGTATTAGAGACGTGTCCTTCAGTGCAGGAGCCCTTTGGGGCCACTGCCCAGCCCCTCTGGGCTCAGGCTCCTTGCACAGCCTGCACGTGGTCTCGAAAAGGCCAGTGCATTCACTGGTACTGTACCAAACCAAGATGCAAGAACTCAATGAGTTTTTAAAATTAGTTTTAGTTTCTGCATTTTTTTTTATTTCCCCTCTAGGCAGGGAGGGTACGAGTCTTGCAGGCTCCTCCAAGCCAGCTTATGTCACATCAATTCAGTCATATCACAGAAGCAATAAAGCTATCAAACAAGCTTGGCTGGCCTCTTTCTTCTGCTGCCTTGGGCCTTTTTTATGGGAGGCAGAGGGATTCCCCTGGTTGGGCCGTCCCCTGCCTCGTTTCACTGCTGACTCCTCCAGAACAGTAATCCAGCTGCCAGGAGCTGCAGCTGGCCAATACCACTGGCCTGGTGCTGGAGACAGGAGAGGGCTGTCCTCCTCCCTGCAGATCACTTTGAGAAGTGGGAGAGGGGATTGTGGATTGGGTTCATTTAGCATTGGAAAGCACAGGCATCAGAGCTTGTCTTGCCTGTGACAAGCTGCCCGTTACTATGACTGCTCTCCTGGGGACTCCCTGCTAGCAGGATGACTTCCTGCCAAGGGTCGGGAAGCAGCAATCGGGCTGGGTGCGGCCCTGACAAAGGCAGGTGTCCAGCCAAGTGACCTTCTCACCACAGTGTCCTGGAAAAGGAAATGGTTTAGGAAGCCAAGGACCGAGGCTGTGACCAGCTCTCATACCTGCCAAGTCCCAGCTGGAGGAGTGTAACCCCTTAGGCAAACCCTGGTGATGCCACCAGGCTCCCAGAGTCACGGGATATGTTGGAGACAGTTCCATCCTTGGAGACATGGGAAGGGTACTTCCAGGGGAGTGACTGGTTTGCCAGACTTCCCAGCTGCTAAACTAGGGGTGGGTTGTTGCTAGCATCAATGGGGCACCAGAGAAGCACCTGCCCAGCCCTCCCTGATGCGTGGTTGCAGGTTTCAAGGAGATGCTGGAGCAGCTCAAATCCTTCCATCCCTCCGCTCTTCACAGCATTTAAAGAGCAGGGCCACCATTGCCAGCGGGCTGAGCCAGCCCCAGGGATGGCCCGTGCCCTGTCCTGGTCCTGGGAGGGCTGAGGAGGAAAAGAGCACAGAGCTTGGGACCAGGGCACACAAGAATGTTCAGGTCAGCTGAGACAAGGAGACTTGTTCAGAGATATCCCTGGAAGAGCCACGTCACTGCTGAGATGGGACACAGCCTGCGTCACAGCTCTCTCCCACGTATGTTATGTCATACCCAGCCATGGCCTCGGACAGCAGTCACAGCATGCTCAGTCCTGCCATCTGGCTGGTCTGCATCACCCCCATCCTGCCACATGCAAGGGTGGCACCTTTAGGGACAGATGTCACAGCAGGTCCTGGCTCGGCTCAGCAGGGTTTATTCCAGACCAGACAAGGCACCTGGGGGCACTCCAGCCGCGGGGACGCAGCAGCAGGGGCTGACACAGGCAGTGCCCTAGGAGGTGTCAAGCCAGGCAGTGCCAGCAGCAGTCAGGGAGCAGGTCACCCCCCTGTCTGGAGACTTGTGGGGCTGGAACACTGCGCTGCACCCCAGTACCCTGTGCAGCCTTAGCCATGCTCAGCACGCTCCAGGGCAGAGCCAATACTCATGAGAGCCCAAGAGGAGAGAGCAGTGCTGGGATTGAGGCACATAGCTGGGACATGCCATCCCCTGCCACCACGATTGTGGGGGGATAGGGAGGAGGTGCTGCTGGTAGGACATTAGTAGGGCTGACAGCAGCTGCAGGCTTATGTCTCCCAGGACAAGAAGAAAGGGCAGAGGAGGGAGCCAATGCCTTCAGGTGTTTGGGATAGCAGCCTCGAAGGGAGTGCACCTGGAAGAGGACAGAGGCCAGGATTAGCACAACCACCCCTTCCACGTGACCAGGGGCACTGTGTGTTCACCTGTATGGAGTCCCCTGGATACCCTGTGCCGTGCCGTGCCGTGCCATGCCCCACACAGCCTTCTGCATACAACCAGCATCACATCCTCAGAACTTCCTGACTGTGTCCTGGGGACATGAAGACCTGCCCAACCTGTAGGGAAGGTGGGAGGGGATGGGGTAACCCCTCTGCTGAGCCAGCACCTGAGGCTGTCTCCAAGTCCTAAGGGTTATCAGTGGGGGAGGCAACCTTTCCCTTTATTGGCAACCCTCTCTTCCTGGGCAGCTTCCCTTGTATAGGCGAGGCTGTGGCCAAACCCAGCTCCGCGGGGACAGCCAGGCAACCTGGAACAGGACATGCCACTCATATTGAAATTTTCCAAGCATTAGTCTGTAGCCCTGCAAAGCAGAGGATCCTTTTCCCTGTCACTTGCCCCTAGCTGTTTCTCTACTGCAGGGATACACCAGGGCCTCCAAAACTTTGCTGGGCAAGGCATCCACGGGCACTGCTTCCAATACCCATGAGGACATTTCAGATAGGAGCAGCCCCAGGCCACGGCCGTGGAGCACCAGTCCCACAGAAGAACCCAGGCTCCCACCCAGTACCACTAGCAGGGAGCCACCCATAGTCACAGAATAGGTCAAGATGCTTGTGCCAGGACAAGAGTGGGGGTGAAAAGGGGGGAGCTGGGGCCACACGGTGCCGCTGCACGGCAGGTGAAGCAGCAGCAGCTCCAGGCCGCGTGCCACCTCCGCTGTCCCTACTCGCGGTGGCAGGGACGGCTTAGTGGATGCCGCCTGTGCCCGCACACTCCCTGGCAGGTGATGTCGCAGGAGGACGCGGGAGGTGTCACCCGCGCGCTGGATAATCCGAGGAGATGAGAGCAGGCGAGGCGGCGGCTCCGCAGGTGGCTGCAGGAGCCTTGCGCGGGACCGCGGGGCCCAGGCTGCCGGGCGGCGGGGCGGAGGTTAAGGCCAGGCGGGTGGCCCGGGGTCGGGGCGACCTGGGAACCGGCGTGCAGCCGTGGCACAGCCGGCGACCGAGCCACTGGCCGCGCTCCAGCCGGGGAGTTGCATAAGTCCGGGGAGTTGCGCCGAGGCGGCGGAGCGCCGCCGGGGCAGGTGACACGGCCGGCGGCACCGCGGGGCGCGCAGCCCGCCTGGGCGCCCTCGGACCCCGCAGCCATGAGGGCCGGACCCGGGGGGCTCGCCTGGCCCGGGGAGCGTCCCGGCGATCAGCTCCGGCCAGGGAAGCACGTGTGAAGCGGAGCCGAGCGGAGGCGGCCCCGGGATTTGGCACGTTCGCAAGGAGCACTCGAGAGCCCCGGGATGGACGCGGAGGGCCCCGGGCGGTGACGTAAGGACTCGCACGGGCTCGGCTCGACTCGCCAGTCGGCCCCCATGTCCCCGGGGCCAGCGGCGGCCCCGGCGGAGGGAGGCAGGGCGACGGCAGAGGTAAGGAGCCTGGTGGCTGGCGGCCCAGCCGAGGAGGACCGTGGCGCGGGCGGGAGGGAGGCCGGGCTCCTCCTCCGGCGCGGCCGGACACGAGCGCCAGGCACACCGGTGACCCGAGTCAGCTCGGGGTGCTTGAGACGCCGGCGGGCCCCGCCGCTACCAGGAGCCGCCGGGATGACCCTGACCTTGCCCGACAACCCCTCCCCGCCGGATCCCCACGTGTGCAAGGGGTCCCTAGCGGGGCTCTGCTCCCGGAGCGCTCCGGGAAGGGCTGAACCCTTTCCCGAGGGTGTCCATGTGTCTATCCTGGCAGCGCTGTGACGGGGATGTCGGAGCAGGGAGCACCGATAACGGAGCGACCGTCCAGGCTGCGGGTCCGCCTGCCGGGGTCGGCCGACGGGCAGGTAGCGGTAGTAGAGGTCGGGTGCCTCCGGGGATCCCAGCGCTGTTCCTGACGGGGTGCGAGTTTCTGCGGGAGCTCGGAGGCGGTGCGGATCACCGGTGCTGAAGCGCGTTGGGCTGCGGCTTCTGCTGCTGGCGGGATTCCAGTGCCCTCCTGGTCCCGGTGCGGTCCAGGCGCCCGTGCGGGTCGGAGTCCCCGTGCCACTACGTGCAGATAGGGGTGCCGGTTGGTATCCTGGTGCCAGTGCGCGTCGGGGTCCCGGTGCTGGTGCCCGCCCCGCCAGTCAGGTGACGGTGGCTGGAATTTGACACCGGCAGCGACGACGGGAGCGGGATGGAGCCGCCGCTGCCCTGCACTGCGCGTCCGCCTGATGCCGCCGGCACCGCACCCCGAGACGCAGCGGGAGCGGCACCGGGAGCAGCGGCGGGAGTCGGTGCCGGCGGGGCAGCGCCGGCCCCCGCCAGCGCCCCGCCCCGGCGCAGCGGCGGCGGGCGGCGGGGGGCGGAGGGGAGCGGAGGCGATGCGGGGCAGCGGCGGCCCGGGGGATGGTCCCCGCCGCGGGCACGGTGAGTGCAAGCCGGCGTGGCGGGCGACAGCGCCCGCCCCAGCCTGCCGGCGGCCCCGAGTCTCGGCGGAGGCTCGTGCCGGGACTACGGGGGGACGAGGGGAATCCGCTTCGCCGCCCACCTCCCAGCAATACTCGCGGGTCGGTGAGGGGTCTCTGGCCGCCCCCGGGCAAGTCTCCCCGGTCGGCTACCGGGGTGCCGAGCCCGACCCGGCGGCGGGAAGCGCTGGGGGCCGCGGCGGGGCCGGGGCTCCCCGCCGGGGCGGGGAGAGGCGGCACCCCGCTGCGGGCGCCCGAGGGGCACGGGGACGGACTCTCCCGCCTCTTCCTTGGGCTCCCGCCCGGCCCATTGGGCACGTCGGACAGGTGTGCAGACGCTGGGCAGGCGAGAGGCAAGGGGCCGGGGGTACCCTGTGCCCCCCGGCTCTGCTGTCCCCGAGTTGAGGTCGAGTTTGATCTCTGCCCTCTGTCCCACATGTCCGAGCCCGATCTTCCAAGGCTTTGCGGGGCGGGTGCCCACTTCTCATCATACGTGGGGTTGATTTCTGACCCCCATCATTCCTTCTGCCAGGGTCAGCGCGGAGGGATGCAGGGCCTCCGCCGGTGGCCGCAGGTGCCCGAAGGGGTCTCCGGGCATCCCTCCGCGCTACCAGGTGGGACTCGCGGCTACAAGGTTGGCACAGCTAGTCCAAGAGCCGAGACACTCACCGCGGGCCTGGGGCACTCGATGGGCCTGCGTGGATGCACTTCGCGAGTGTCTGCTGCCTCCCCCGGGGGCTTGGTGCAGCCACGGGACATCCTCCCCCAGCGCCCCGTGCACTGGGCAGGCAGCGGGGCTCTCGCCGGGCTCTGCAAGAGTGAGTGTGAGGTGGTTTGCTCAGGGGTTGCACCAACAATTGCTGTTGCTTAGCCCCGGGCGGGGGACGCATGTGGTGGGGGTCCAGGCAGGTGCTCACGTGGATGGGCTCGGTTCCGACCCTGGGAAAAAGCCCACTTGTGTTTATGAATCGCCCGCAGGGCTGTGGCAATCTTGTCTGGGACAGATCTAAGCCAGATTTATTTCCCCGTACGGGACATGGGGGTCTGCTATGGGGTGTGCCGGTCTGGCACCCCTGTGGAGTGCCCAGCTTCAGGCCTGGCCGCGCTGGACGAAAGCCGATGCCGAGAGGGACTGCGGGGCCAGCGTGGGCTGCAGTCCTGCGCGCTCGGGAGCTGCACCCATGGACGGGGCCCCGCGTCTGAGGAGGCACTGGTTATGTTAGTCCGTCACTTCGGCTCTGGGGCTCCCGGTGGCGAAGGGAGGCTGCCCTCGTTCGGCGCCCCGCCGGCAGCGCTCCCGCAGCAGAGTCCGGGGCCGTGCTGCCGCCGAATGGGAGAAGCTTGAATTGCACCGACTGATCCGTCCCGTTCCCCGTCCCCATCCCGTCCCGTCCCGTCCCGTCCCGTCCCGTCCCGTCCCGTTCCGTCCCGTCCCATTCCCCGCCCCTTTCCCATCCGGTCCCGCCGGGATGCTGGAGCCGAGGGGCCATAGCGGGGTGGCCGGCCGCGGAAGCGAGGACCGGAGGGTCCGTCCCTTCCCAGCAGGGCACAAGGACCCTCCGGTGGTGCCGGCCTGGGAAATCCATGACCTGGCGGCAGCAGCTGGCGTGGGGCCACGGGCCGCCACGGGAGCGAAGTGCAGCGTGGGCTGTTTTTGGCCAGGCTGTGGAGGCTGGCGCGACCATGGGGGCCGGTGCGAGCCCTGCCGGCACCGGGGGCTCATCCTGCCTGGTGCGCGGCTCCTAGAGGGGGAACATGGGCCTGGCAGCGCCCACTACAGACCCATGTCACAGTATGGCCAGTGCAGGGTGGCATCAGATTCCACAAATGGGACGTGGGGACCATCCCCTGAGATCCTAGAGGGTCTGGAAGAAATTATTTTTTCTTCTTGTGCCAGCAGTACCCAGGCATGTGCGTTCACTTTTTTTTGGTCAGGAGTGCTCTCCTCAGCATGTCCTCGTCCCCCGTTGCTTCCTTTGCCATGGAAGCAACTGGGACATGCTGAGGCAAAGCCAAAGTCATAGAGGGGATGGAGGAACTCCTGAATGCAGAATGTCACTAAGCTCCAAGAGGACAGTCCTGTCTTGAGAGAGAGGGTATGCAGCAGATAGGCCAAGGAGGGTACAACCCATTTGGAACCACTTCTAAAGCCCTTCAAAGCCAGGGTGTCCTAGCTTTGGACACTGGGGCACCACTGCACTATAGGGGGGAGCTGGAGAAGGAAGTGAAGATGCTGCAGATGGGAGTTGCCCCAGTACCTCCTGGGACACATCACTCCCCTGAGACCGTGCTTGCTGCTTCACTGCGACCACACACAGCAGGGATGCAGTTCCTTTCTGTGTGTCAGGGCAGTGGATGCCAAGCAATGGTGTTGGGGTGAATGACTACAGTGAGCCCAGCATTGTGCTGCATACCCTGCTATGCCCCCACAGGACCTGCCTGACCATCCTGCCCCTTGCAGTCCCACTCATCCAGGCTGCTCAAGGGTTGCGTGTCCCAGCTTGGCGCAGGCAGCAGCCTGGGGAGCCAGCACAGGGCCAAGGGGTGGCTGCACCCGAGGACCCTGTGCTAATGGATTTGGAGTTTCCAAGGTCAGGCTCCCACTGTGAGCAAGAAAAACATTCCCAGGGAAGGGCCATGGGAAAGGGCCCCCCCGTGCAGCGCTCCCAGTCCCAGCCACTGCTTCACAGCCCAGCCTGGCATCCCAGGCTGTTCACACAAGGACATGGCTGCATTGCCCCTGAGGAGAGATGCTGTACAAAAGCTGGGTTGCCCAAGTTGCCCAGTCTCTTGGAAGGACTGTTCAGTGTGGTGAGGATGCCTGGCTATGCCAGGAGAGGAGAGGGGTAGGGGTGGGCCATGAATGGGGTGCAGAAGGTGTGAGGTTCTGGGGGGCGAGGGAGGGGGTGGCATGCTTGGCCAGAGCAGGGGAGGCATGTGCCAACTCCCAGCCAGCCCTGTGTGGGCACTGACCTCGACCTCTGTGCTTGCAGCTAGCATGGACCAGCAACAGGGGCCACCAGAGCGAAGGCCTGCAGGACCTGCCACTCACCTGCAGCCCAAGGTGAGCCCAGGTCTGTCTGGCTGCAATGGCCAAGACTACATGACCCCATCCCCACCCATCCCCCGCTCATGGAGCCTCATTCCTGGTGTGGAACCCTGGTTGGGGCTGACCTTGCTGTGCTGTGATTTGTTGCAGGAGGGGACACTGTGGGGATTCTTTGCCATCCTGTCACTGCTGGCTGGGCTGGCCACAGGCACCCTGCGAACACCACACTGCAATGAGACTCTGGACACAGCCCCCACGCCACGGGGCATGGCCACTGCCAGCGTGTCTGCGGAGGATGGTGTGGAGGCACCACTTGCTGCTGCCTGGAGCCAGTTGTACGGTGCGTTTTGGGACAGGTCCCCCAGCTTGGGCATGGTAGTCCCATGTGTGGGGCATGTGCATGTTGGGAGCATGGGGGGCCCAGCTTGTGTGGGGCTGTGGCTGCACTTGGGGGCTGGGCTGAGGGAATCTGAACGCATGGGTCCCTGAGCTACATGCTGGGCATGTGGCAGAGCCCTAGAAATGAGAAGATGAGAAGATTCCTGGCTGGAAGAATCTTCCCACACATCCATGCACCCTCTCAGGCACCAGCCATTGCCATGCTGGGTGGTCAGGAAGGATCTGTACGTCACAGTGGGGACTGGCAGACTCAGAAGGAGGGCATTGGGTGCAGGATGGGTTCTGACAATGCCATCTCCTCCATGTGCAGGGGACAACGTGACAACAGGTAGCCCAGGCACCACAGAGCTCACCGAGGACCTGCTGCTGCGTGCTGAGCGCTCACCACCAGGCGCCAGCAAAACCAAAAAGGGACGGAAGACCTCACGGGGCACCCGTGGGCGCAACTGCCACATCCGCAACCTGATGGTGAAGGTGCGTGACCTGGGCCTGGGCTTCAACTCGGACGAGATTGTGCTCTTCAAATACTGCAGTGGATCCTGCCACCGGGCACGCAGCAACTATGACCTGACGCTGGGCAGCCTGCTGCGGCAGCAGCTCATCACCCCGGGACCACAGGAGCGGGTCCTCAGCCACCCCTGCTGCCGACCCACCCGCTATGAGGCTGTCTCCTTCATGGATGTGGAGAACACGTGGCAGACAGTGGAAAAGCTCTCAGCAGCTGAGTGCAGCTGTATTGGCTGAGGAGGGGGGCACTGGCTTGGCCCCAGCTCAACACATGCCGACAGACTCCAGCTTGCCACGTGCAGTGGCACTGTTGCTCGAAACAAGAGTCTGGCAGAGGCAGGTGCCCCTGTTATTATGTGGCCACAAAGAACTGAGGTGAGATGGAGTCATGACTGAGATGTGGGTGGCCAAGCCTGCTCCTGCTCAGTGCCAAGCAGCTGGTGCCACCAGCTACATAGGCTCCTGCCCAGGTGCCCTGGCTCAGCCCTGGGAGACGAGCTGAAGAGAGTATGGACCATCCCCACCACTCCTAAGAGTCTGCCAGCCCAGTGTCCATCAGCGGCACTCCTGCACCTGTGCTCCAGGGGCCAAGCATCACCCAAGCTTCCGAGAGGGCAAAATCTCCCTGTCCCCTCGGGGACCCTGGGGTCAATGGTGCAGGGAAGGAGTGTCCCTGAGGGCAGGGATGCAGTGGGGCCAATTTGCACCAGTGTGGAATGGGGGGCCTGCACCTGGACCAGGAGCAGCCCCTAGTATTCTGCAGGGTGTTCAGTCATAGACACCCATTGGGACCCCCACCCCTGCCTGGTTCCCAGGATAGTGGCAGGGTCCTCTGGCTGCTCCGTGGTGCTGTGGCACTAAACTATTTATTACTCTAAATTATTTATTTATTGTTCTTGAGCGGCAGCTCCTATTTATGACTTTGGGCCCCCGGGGGCCGGGTGTAATTTAACCCCAGCGCTGCACTAAAGCCCTGGGCAGCGCCCCGTGCACCCCGCCCCCTTTTTCTATTATTTGTAAAATTTGAGGGATAAACTCTATTTTTGTACAGTCGCCTTTTCCTGTAGCAATAAAGCGATGGGCTGCGCGTCCAACCCCTGCGTGTGCCCGTGATGGGGACGGGGACGGGAGCGCCCCTGAGGTGGCAGCGGGAGGGTGCGGAGCGGTGCTGCGGGCGGCACTGCCCGCCCCGCGCGTGGGGAGCGGTGCCGGTGCGCGGTGCGCGGTGCCGGTGCGCGGTGCCCGGTGCGCGGTGCCGGTGCGCGGTGCGCGGTGCCGGTGCGCTGTGCCCGGCAGGGGACGCGCGTGGGCCGGGACTACCGCTCCCGGCGTGCGGCGCGGCGCTGCGGCAGGTCCTGGGCTGCCCGGCCGCGCCTGCGGGGCCGCGGGGAGCGGCGAGGCGGGGCCGGAGAGAAGCGGAGCCGGGCAGTGGGGCTGCTCGGGGAGTCCCGCGGGCGCCTCCCGGCCCGACCGCCGCGCCGAGCCGCGCCGCCCCGGTGCCACCGCCCCCGTCGGGGCGGGGAGGCGGGTCCCGCCGCGATGCGGCTGCCCGTGCGCCGCCGCTGTCGCCCGCCCGCCGCCACCTCCTGAGCGCCGCCGCAGCCATGGAGCGGAGGGCGGAGGCGCCGCCGCCGCAGGGCCTCGACTTCACCGTGGAGAACGTGGAGAAGGTGAGCGAACCGTGCCGGCCCAGCCGTGGCCGTGGCGGGGCGGGGGGGAGCTCGGCGGCGGGATGCTGATGGTGCCGCGGTGCTGCGGGGGATGCGACTCGGGGAGCGGGGGGCACCTGCTCGGCGGTGCCGGGCCCGGCGAGGGCGGTGGCGGCGTTCCCTGTGCCTGCCGCTGCTGGGGCCCGGGACGTGGGGCTGGAGGGGGAGCCGCCGGGGCAGCCCGGAGAGGGAAAATGATGTGGCAGGAATGGGAGCAGAAGGGAGGGGTTGTGTGTGTTTCTGACTGGCGTCCTCTAGGTCGCCAGCTGCAGCGCTGGGTAGGGAGAGCCCACGAGTCTGGTCGTGGCTGCTGAACCAGCTGCATCAATGTGAAGCCCATTATCAGTGTCTCCGTTAGGCAGGGAAGGAAACAACTTTTGCTAGGTGCTGGGAATTGTTGGATATTACGGTTAGAAAAAGCCTTCAGCAGGCGGATGGTCCACTGATACCTTTCTAAACCAGGAATCCAGCCCCTTTGCTCCTGCTGATGCTCAATGTCCTTCAAAGTATCTGCAGGGCAACAGGACTGAGGCTGATTGCTGAAATCTGGGATCCAGGGAATGGCCACGGCAAACCAAGGCCTGCTGGCATCACACTGCTGCTGGGATGAGCCCTGAGCAGTTGATGTGTGACCTGGGGTTCATCACAGGGGCTAAACAAGGCACCTCAGTGAGCATACCCATGAGGGCAACTGAGCAAAAACCTTCCCTTGGCCACCTTGGAGGTGATGGGGGCAGGGCAGCAGAGGATGCATCCCTGAAGGGCAAACGGCAAGTGCATCACTCTTCCACTTAGCCTGTAACCAGACATCCAACGCACATCTATAGCTTGGTCCTCAGACAGTTAGTGGGAATCCCAGTGTCCTCATTTTTCCTCTATAAGAATAGACTGAGATCCTTGCCAAGGCAATACTCATGGGAGTGCTGGTGGGCACATAGAATCATGGAATCATTTAGGTTGGAAAAGACCTCTCAGATCATCATGTCCAATGGTTAGTGCAGCTCTCCCAAGCCCACCATTAAACCATTTCCCCAAGCTTTTCACACCCTCCCTCCCCAGTAGGTTGCCTGGCCTCACAGGAGATGTCAGGTCAGGGATGTCAGGTTTGTCACTGGGCGCTGGTTGCCTTTGTGGCTGCAGGTGAGACACAGCCCACCTCTTCCAGGGAGATGGAGACAGAGCACAGCTGGGGGATTAACTGATGTCTGCAAAATGCTGCGTTCATGCAACCTTCTGCAGCTTAATCTGCATACATCCAGGGCTGCCGGATGATTTTGCCTCTGACTCCCTTTCTTTTCCTCAGACACAAACCGCTCCTTTGTTTGCACCAACAATGAGGCACACACTTGCCCGGGAAGGGTGGGCAGTGCCAGGATGGGGGCACCCAGCACAGCCTGGCTGAGGTGCGGCTGTGCCGAGAGGCAGCTCATCCTTGCCAAGCTGCTCGGGATTTAGTCTCCCAGTGTCTGGGAAGAGGCAGAGATGCCCTCTAGGATGCTTCATCTCCCCTCCCCCAGCCTGCCTCTGCCTCTCCTGATCTCTGCAGGCTTTGCCATCTCAGTGGTGTCCTCTGAAGGTGCAGCTGTGGACTGCAGTGGGGCTCTGAGCTGCTGGTGGGGGGCTGCAGCTCAGAGCCTGAACAGGGGAAGAAGCATAGGGTGGGATCAGAAAAAAACACAGAGGTTCAGCAGCTCAGAGCCTTCCTGTGTCAGTCTTTTCCAGGAAGGTCTGTGGGGTACAAAGTGAAGGAAGGATGGGCCTTGCTGGGAGCGGGGTTGGTGGGAGGCAGGTGGGTAGAGCCACTTTGTCAGAAGTGATGCTGGCAGATGAGTGATGCACCTACTGGCCTGGGTTCTTCCACCTGCCAGGTTTTGTGTATGGCTCTATTAATAATACTGAATACTGATTAAAGTTGGGGTTTGACTCCACTCTGAGTCAGTCAGTGGTAAGTGCTGAGGTTAGGAATAGCGTGAGGAGCTGGTTATCTCTTAAATCAGAGGGCTGAAGCTTTTCCAGGTCCCCTGCAGTGGAAGTCATCATGTGTGGCAGTTGTAGCTAGGGCAGTCTGGCGAGACTGTGTCTGTCACACTCTTCTGACTGTTTTCATGGAGAAGATTCTGTCTCTGGAAAATGCTTTTGTACCCCTACTGTTGTTTATTATGCAGTGGGGTTTTGCAGAGCTCTGGGGTGCCTGTGTAGCTGAAGAGGATCATTGCTGTGTTTATGAATAACCAGTGCCAGAGAGAGATCCCTTCAGCTGTGAACAGTGGTTTCAGGGAGGCAGGAGGGTGCAGGTGCTGAAGGCAGAGCCAGCCGACAGGTCTAAAAGCCTGTGGACAGGTGCCAGGTTCAGGTGCTGCACTTCAGGAACCATCTGAAAGTTTCTCCCTGTATTTTTTTCCTCTGTTTTTCCATAGGGAGCTCTCCCATGGCACAGGAAAGGAGCGTGGCTGCACTGGGGCTGAGCTGTTTTGATAGGGTTACTGTGTCAACATCACCCAGTCCTAGCTGAGGGCTGCTTGTCTGCTTTTTGTTTTCTTCTGAGCCTGACCTAGATGCTGCTCTGACTTCAGCACAGCTAGAGCTGACTGGCATGGCCATGCTGTGTGGACCTGCTGGGAGTCCAGCAATTCTGGGCTGGCTCTGCTTCCCCTGCACCTGCTGCTGAGTGGGGCTCTCTTGCTGTGTTTGGAGGGGTTGGAGGGACGGGAAGACTAGGAAAGCCAAGGGCTTCAGGCTGTGAGAATGTTCAGCCTTTCATTGCCTAAATGGTGCAATCTGGTTTCTGACCTGCCTGTGCTTTTGTGTGCCCAGGAGCTGTCCCTGGTGTGACTGATAGCCTGGTGCTGGGGTGATGAAGATGGATTGCAGATGTTTAATCCAAGCTGCTCTGTCCCTCTCAGAGGAGCAGTGCACAAGCAGGACTTGTGCCCTATGATACTGGTTTCCCTCAGCACTTAATGCTGCAGTATTGTACAGGAGAGGAAGAATGTGAGACCCTCCTCACATGTTCTTAGTGCAGCCGAATCTGCTTCAGCAGTATCTCCCTTTTTGAAATAAGAAAGAAGGCAGTGCCATTCCTCCGTGAATTTCCCAAGTGCAGGCTCTCGCCCTCTTTTTTTTGTCTAATTCCTTCCAGGTCTTTCCTCCCTTGTCCTGCGTCTGATCCTCTGGGGTGTTTGTAATATTTGCTGACGTCTTTTCCCTAGTACATTAGCGGTCTGGCATCTCTGGGCCTTCCAGATTGCCTTGTGCCTCTCTAGAGATGCCTGATGAATGCACAGAGTCTCTCCGGCAGGATGGGTAGGCGGGGTGTCATGGAGCTGACATCCGGAGCCTACCGCAATGGGAGAGGGATGGCTTTGATCACTGCTCCTCCGAGGTTCTGAGCCTCGGGGATGTGACAGCTGCTGGGGCTGCCTTCTGCCCGGGAGGATAGGGAGGAGGAATCAAGTGCATCTGGTTTCTTCGGAAGGCTATTGCCTATCTTCAGAAACCTGATCAAGAGAATTACAAATACTCGAGAGTGAGGGAATGGCATCCTCTGGTAGTGGATCGACCACTTAGTCCTTAGAGGCAGCCAGCATGTGTGAGATGTGGCAGCCACACTGGGGATGGTAAGCTGGGAGCCTTAGGAGGAGAGATTCTTGCAGAATTGAGGGAAACAGGAAGTCACCTTGTTATATGTTTAAGCAAATTTATTGCAGAAGCAGATTCCAGCCAGAACCAACCTTGGCTGAACATGTGGCTCCTTCCCGTGGTGTGGTGGTGATGGGATGAGAGAGCAGCATCTTGTTGTCCAGTGCTGGTCTGAGCTCTACAAGGGCCATCGCTGGAGCCTCATCTCAGCTCTGATATATTATGGTGCAGGAATGGATGGGATTGGTGCCTG